ATTCTGCTGTAATTTTTTTTTTAATCTTACGACAAAAGCCACACGGTATTCCATTTGAGCTGCTAACAGCGCCAACCACAATTTAATAAAAGTGTCAACTTCATGAATTTATGATGCTAATTAAATAAAATCGCTTATGCATGCTGCTGCAGCTGCACTGTTGTTATTTATTTGCTGTTTTTGTTTACTTACATAAGTACATATGTACATACCGGATGAGCGGTAGGCGCATGGAAAAATATAATTAAACACTCCTTCGTTGAGTTTCTATGTATGCTGCAACTAAAGTTACTCATACGCCCAGGGGCGGTAGAAAATTTTAAATTCCGTGAAAAATAAATGCAGGAATGCAAAACTTTAAAAAGCTACAGCAGCTAAAGCATTATAATATCTAAATTTATTCAGAGTAGGGCTAATGCATTTGTGTACATGTAGTACACCGCAAGCATTAATAAATAAATTTGGACTTTGTACCCGGCTCAAGTATTTATGTCTATAAACCAATGTGTCCGGGAGGAATTGGAAAAAGTTTAAAAATTCGTTTATATCTTATATCCTAAGTGTGTTGAATTATAAGCAAACATGCTTACATATCCTGTATACTGAAATTCATTTAGCCTTATAAAATTGAATTGAATAAGGTATCTACAAATGCGAGTACAATTTATTTATTTTTTCTTACAAAATCGTTCATGTTCGTTGGTTGCCAATTTGTTTCTTTTAATATTTGATTTTTTATTAACATTCGGTTTGAGGGCGTATATGTTTGTGTATTTTTGTAAAGTAGGGTGGTCCTTAAAACATCAGCATCATAGGGCACCTCTTTATTTTATTCTACGCACAAAACAAAGCATTAACGAAAGTTTAAAAATTAAAGAAAAAAATAAAATATTTAGTGGTCGCTAGCAGATTTTGAGAAATGATTTTTTTTTTTTAAATCGCAAAAATTCGACACAATTTCTACATTGAACAGCAATAACTCAGCGATTTTATTAATTTTTACAAAAAAAGTTTCAATAGTATGTCAAATTTATCAGATTTCAATCCAGAATTTTGTAGAATTATTGCGATTTAAAAAGTTTAAACTTTTTCCAAATTTTAAAATTCTGAAATTTTAGTGGATATCTTTATTTAATTTATTTATTGTTTATTTGTCTACTGATTTCTCTTACAGACTAAAAATAAAGTTAAAAAATAGAACAAAATAAAAAGGGTGTCCCATAAAAAATTCAGATGCTGATATCCTATAGACCACCCTTCTCTACATATACACCATATAAGTTCCACCTTAGCACCAAGTTACATTGTATAAGAAGTGAAATAGGTAGGAATAAGGCCAGCAAAAAAAAAGAGTGAAATAAATTCAATTTGCTCTTGTCGCTGCAACAAAGAGTGAAATGAAGCAAGCAATTCAACCAAGCAGCCAGCCAGCCAGCCAGCCAGCCAGCAGCTCCAGCTGCTTCTCTATGCTTTTCCACACAAAGTGAGAGTGAGTAAAGAATATTAAATTAAGCTGCTATCAAGCTGTGGCGCCGCTGTGTAGCCGCTTGCACCTTTACCACTGACAATAGCCCGAACTCTTATTGCTTTTAGTTTTGTTTCATAACGAATACTTTATCTTAGCGCGACTACTGTGCAATGTACACACTGTACATTCTACACAACTATGTAAGTCGTGCACCAGGTCGTATGCGCAACATTTGTCACTTGCTTAACTGCTCGCTGATTGTGAGTATTGTTGCTATTGTTGTAGTATGCTTGGCTTACACGACAAACGTTGTGATGGCGGTGAATTGTGATTTTTAATTGCGCAGTCGAATTTCCTTTGTTTGGCTGTTAATTAACAAAATTTACAGGTACACGCCAGTATTGAATTTGTCGAGTGTCGAGTCTTTGTGATATATATAAAGTCATTTTACTAAAGGGAGATTGTGCAGAATACCCGTAGCACATGGAATGGGACAGACTTTAAGTACTTGCAAAGATTTATTGCTGAAGTTTAGTTGTGCTCCCTTATTTAGCTGAGATTTAAATTGAAATAAATGAATGAGTTCAAGTGAGTGCTATTGTACCAATTTTGGCTTCAGTATCAAAGGAACCGCCAAAGAAAGCCTCTTAAAAAAGGAGTTGTTTCAACAGCGATTGCATGCGTAGAAGCCCAATCAGCGTTCATAGCTAAAGTTTGTTGCTTTGGTATTAGAAAGTATATTGCCACGACATTAAGTTTCATTTTCGCGATTATTTAAATTTTTTTAAATTTCTAAATAAATATTCATATTTCCACCGGCTGCAGTGCTTATGGTGATTTCGTTTCTTCCAAAAAATGTTGCCCTTCCCCGGTGCGAAATGTGTCTGATGTTACACTCAACCCTGTAAAAAGGCACGGGTTTGCCTTCTTTTTTTTTGTTTTGTCTTGTTTTGTCGGTTTAAATAACCATCTGATTTGCAGGGCAACTATCTCATCTGACAAAGCTTCACAGGGCAGAGAATGTGCCTTTTTTGCCTTAAAAGAGCGTGATATTTTAAGAAACGAACACAAAATTTTCTCACCCTATGCCTTTAATTTAGAATCGAACACAAAAAGAAAAAGGGGCAATCAAAAGGCGATATTTTTTGGTAGAAACAAAATAACTATTAGTTTCTTAAAGAAAGAATAAAGCAAATTTTATATTTGTCAATGTTATTGTGGCTTACTAACATTTTATTTTTTAAGAAAGTCTAAGCAGTAGAAGTTATAGCAGCTATTTCGGAGATCACCACATCTCCTCATCAGACTTCTTTTTTCTAACTTCAGCAGGGATCGAACCTGCATAATCGATGTCCAAAGTCAGAAGCGTTAACCACGCATAAATTCCAAAAATTTATAATAATCTAATTTTCTGCTCAGTGGTCATTACAATAATCGATTTTGAGCCAATAAGCTTTAGTAGTTACTGAGTTATCGCAGTTTTCGTAATTCTGTTAATTAACGTTACATGGGAGGTGGGCGTGGCTATTGCCCGATTTCAAAGATTTTCAAAAAAATTTCTAAGCTGGATATGAAGCAAGGCTCGCACCGAGTTTGGTAAAGACTGGTGGAGCGGCTACTAAGATACAGTATTTCATCATAAGTGGGCGGGGTCACGCCCCTTTACCAAAAATTTCATAATAATATTATTTTGCACCAAAATTATACTTCACAGTTTTTGCATTCTCCGAAAATACCGCAATATGAGAAGGGGCGTGGTTACAGTCCGATTTCGCACATTTTCAATAGCAGCCTACCTTGGATAAAGGGCAACTATATACCAAATTTTGTTAAGATATCTTAATTTTTGCTCGAGTTATCGTGTACACGGATAGACGGACGGACAGACTGATATGGCTTGATCGACTTCTCTTTTAATTCTGATTACTTATGTATACATCAGTTATTTTTTTTAGTATTTTAAATTTAAAATAAATTTGATGCTTTTTGGGGGTTTCCGTGACTTTATTCGGAATATTTCAGTTTTTTTTTACGGGCTCCTTTTATATTTTTTGGACTTTATTACAGTTTTTTAAGGATTTTACGGTACATTTCAGGTGCAATGCAAAAAAAAAATTGGTTTTATTTTTTTTTTGCGTGAAGTTAAAAAACTGAGAATTATGAGTTAAACATGAAATAATTTTTTGATAATTTTGATATAGTACAACAACTTGCATGCAGATTTATCTGCAAAAAAATTATAAAAAATCTAGAATTTGTGTTAATTAAAAAAATGAATGCCCGCAGTCATTGTTATGCAAAGAGGAATAGGCAGCTTAAGCTGGTAAAGCTAGTTTAAATAGTCGGAAGGAATTTCAGCAACTATCTGTACAAATATCGAGTGCTTATATTCAATATGACCTACCTACAGTTTATACAAAAATTATGATGTTAGAACCCGTCTGAGACTTAACTACCATCGCTGGTTGATATGTAAATATTGAAATTCAATAGTTAATTCTTCTGACAAGTGATTTACAGTTAAGTCTAAGATGGATTTTTATACACCGATCTTATTTTTGTAAAACCTGCAGATAGATCATATTGAATATAAACCCTCGAAATACCATATATTTTTGGTATCATTTGGTTCCCCGTATAAATGCATGCCAAGCATTCGCCCTTGCGGCTATCATGCGCTGCACTGTAGCAAAGAAGTTGTTGACTAAATAATTTAGAAAATTAAAAAATTTCGCCACCGCATTACACTTTTCCACGAATTAAGTACAAAGTGATCTTTTCATCATACAAATTGAATGATCAACTTTAAATATGTTGTTGTATACTATACAATTTTCAGCTGATATTTCTTAAATGGTTTTTTTTTCGCATCTCTGGTTTCACTTTCGCTCTTTTGCGAAAAAATCACCCCACGATGGCTGTGGCAAAGTCGCGCCGACACCAGCGTCAATTAGGGCGTTCAAACAACTTAAAACTAAATTATCCAATTTAACGAAAGCAGAAAGCAAACACACACACAATTTAATATATTCGTATATATTTGCGACGTGTAGTTGTTGGTTTATTTAATTTAAATTTTTTCATTCGACTGCAGCGCTTAAAGCGTTTCCGGCCTGTTGGGTAGTTGGGCAGTTGAACGCTGAAATCAGCGGCACCGTCATCGCAGTCACTCAACGCGAGCGTGCTGTGGCGGGCGTTTGAATATCTGTGGTTTTAGTGGTTCTAAAATTTTGCGAGATAAATGTGAAACTCAACAAAACAAAAAAGATATCATTATTTTCAATGCTACATAATAATAAAAATATAAAATATGATATAATTTGCAGCAACAAAAATGTAGCAAATATTTGAAATTTTTGCAGACAAAATGCATATTTGGTTTTAAATTGAAGTTTATTTTCGCATCCATCAATTTAATGAGCGTTTAATGCGAAAGTCTGCATGAAGAATATAAAAATGAATTAAAAATAAAATTCCAATGCGCAGTGATAATATTTATCAGCAACATTTATTCACGCCGTGTTTTTTTGAGTGCAAAATGATGTTTATGAAAAATGTTTAAATATATATTATTTTTTTACTTTTTCTACGGTCAAAAGTGATTTCCCCTTTAAAATCTTACTAATAATAACTCTTCAATTCCATATATGGCTGCAACAATTGTGTCTCGTTCTAATTCCACTTGCAGCACCTACTAGCGGCGATTCGGCAGCCGCGTCTAGTGAGACCTTAGACGCCGCTTCAGTCGTTTCACCCACCGCGATGAGCACAGCACCGATACAGCGAGCACATCGCTGAGCTACCAGGACGAACAGCAACCGCAACAGCATGTGATGCGCGCTCACCTCAGCAGTCATCATCACTACCACCTGCCACATCAGTTCCAGCACCCACACCATCAAAATCATCACACGCACGGCGGTGTGCCTGTGGCTACGCCCACTGTGCCCGCCAGCTATGCGGGGACGCAACATTTACTGCACCACCAAAAAGCGGCGGCTACCTACAGCAGCAGCGCGATGGATGAGGATAGCAGCGGCAGCGTGAGTGGTGGTAGCGGTCCAACACCACCTGCCAAACCGCCACACGTGCAAGAACGTCGCTCACCGCCAAGCGTCGCGAGCGTCACAGCAGCCACAGCAACGTCGAGGTCATGCTGGCCGTAGATGCTGCGTCGACTCCTTCAGTATCGCCAGGCCGTTTGGCTGCGCGGCTACGAGACTCTGGCTCACATCATCGTGTGACCATCGATGAATCGAATATGCCTACGTCTTCGGCGCTAAGTCATCAGCTGGATGTGAGTGGCGGTGGTGGTGGGGACAATGGTGATGCAGGTAGTGGTGGTGGTGGGGCAGGCGGTTCAGGACCACCATCGCCCGGCTCATCAAATCGCAGGCTCTCGTCAGCGCTGGGGGACGATCGCCAGACAGGACATTTAGCGTTAATGTATCATTCACATCAGTTAACCAGCTATCCGGTGTTGCCAGCCATTAAACGTACGCATCGACCGTCGTTCATTTATCCGCCGATGCCGCGAGTCAGAGCGTGAGTACAGATAAACATGAAATATATTAATTCAATTGCAGTTCTATTTAAAGCTAGCAAAATCTTGTATTCATAAAAGGCTTACAGAATATTTTTTAAGTGGCGGGCCTCAAGCTCAGCGCAGTAACCATTCTTGGGAGGATTATAGAGATGCTCCTGTATAAGTTTACTTACCTCAGGTTTTTTTCTTTTCTATATTACACCGTGCGGCAGTCAATTTTACGTACAACAAATCAATATATGCGCCAAATATAGTAAAACTGCGTTTTTAATTTTTCTCTCTGACGTTAGGGTTTTTTTAAAGGACTTTGAAATTTGAAAAAAAAGATTAATTCAACAAATTATTTAAAAAATCCAGTGCAATGCAGAAACACAGTATGGGTTTCTTATTAAACACAAAATTCTGTAGAACTAAGCCTTCAAAAATTTTTTGGAACATAAGGACGAGTGGGCATTGAAAATGTCCCATTAAAACTTTTGTCCTTGAATATCTTTGAAATTTTGCAATAATTTTTTTTTAATTTTGTATTTCTAACTTTAAAAGATAAAAAAAAAATTAAATAAAAGGACATTGTCCATACCTATTCGTCCTTGTGAACCAAAAAATTCGAGGTTTTTTAATTATTTATACAGAATTTTCTCTTTCATTTAGTACCCATATTTTTATTCTGCATTGCACTATATTTCTTAAATAATTCTTGGAATTAGTAATATTTTTTAAATTACAAAGTTCTTTAAAAAAAAATTCTGACGTCAGAAAGAAAAAACTAAAAACGCAGTTTTACAATATTTGGCCCATTAATTTCGTAAGTACATACATACGTATTGATACCTTCGTGTGTATCGAATTTTTTTATTTTTGTCGCACGGTGTTATGAAAATGTGTATTTCACTATCACAAAAATCACGACAAAGTGGAGATTTTTAACATGGCGGTAATTTTTTTTTTTAACACAGAGGGACAGCCATTTTAGGTTCTCGACCAAATATGCAAACGGGTAGCCCAACCTTTTAAAAATTTTACTTTACCTCAAAGTAATCATGCCATTTTATGTGTAAAACGATTTCAAACACAATCTTTGCCTTAGTAAAATTTTTCCAATTTAGAGGGTATCACTCACAAGGAGCACGTAAAACATTTTACCAACCAAAGCTAAAACATTAGCCAATCATAGATTCCTTTTCCCATTTTCAAATATATTTTGGAGTTCCTAATCGCGATAGCGGTTCCAATTAAAAGCAAATCATTCGCTTCACTGCTTCATTGGCAAAAGCAAAACTGCTCAGAACTGCCACGTCACTTCGGTAAAGTTAAGGAGAATAGAAATTTTGTCAACGCTGAGATGAAAAAATTGCTTACAAAGGTCGAGGAACTTGGCAGAGACGCCAAATAAATGATTTCTAAAAGTTGTTTTTATGTCGAAAAAATCCAAGTCATAAGTATGTTTTTAATATGGGTATGTAGGTACCTAATCTTGTATGTACATTAGAGTGGTCCAAAAAAATAATGTCGGAATTTTAATGCTGGCACCCAATAAGATTGTTCTATACCGAGAAAACCATACCCTTATTTTTTTTTTTTTTTTGAAATCAAAACATATTTAGGGAGTTCTGGCGGTCCTATAAAATATAGTTACCATGAAAAAATGGTTTAAGAAACAATTGGGTATTATTACTGGGAATCTCTTGAATAGGAAACGAGTTTTCCGATCTAAAAATATTGATTTTCAAGAATTCTACACCATTTCTTCGAAAAGTTATTTTTCCCAATACAAGAAAAATTTTGATCGCTTTGAGCACTCCCTAAATTTTTTTTTATTTCAAAATAAAAAGCAAGGGGTATATTTTTTTGGGAATAGAACAATCCTAGGTGGTGCCGGCACTAAAAACGCGACTTTACATTTTCACATGCAATCTTGGACCACTCTAATGTACATATACTTGCAGAATATTTTATTAAAGTGACTTAAAGCCGCAAAAATCAAAAACCTCACTTCAACTTTATAAATGTTCTTTGTATGTATACATAACTATGTACGTAGCACATGCATATTAATCTTTCTCTTTGTCGCAAGATTTCGTGTTTTTTTTTAGCTGCGTTTGACATCCCATAATTTGCTGACAAATTGCATAGTAATGATGAAGTAGCGTTGACAAGTTGTTGAGGATTTTGCGTAGAATTCGTATAGGCGTTACACATAAAATTGTATATGCAGTGATTTACAAGAGTGTAATGAACAAAGTTAGACTTGATGACGTTAATAAGAAAGCACACATTTCACTAACGAAAATGTAAGGAAAGTTTCTGTTTCGGACTTAAATGGCGTGCCGTTCTAATGAAAATTTATAAAATGTACATACATATGTATATTTATATGTACGTAATCGGTGAAGTAAAATTAATTTTAAAGCCCATTGTAATGTTTTCAGAAATATTTTAAGTTAGCTTTATTAAATAGTAGCAAATACCAGGCGTGCTGCACTGCACCTTCAATTTTAACCAAAAGCATATGAGATTTAAGCATTTTTCTTTTGTAATACTCTTTAACATTAAAATCTTCTTAGACATCTTTCAACAGATACCCATTTTGTGAACCAATATCAAAAATACCTGATTCCCTTAATTCAAGTTGAATTTGACTTTTTAAAAACGTGGCAACTCTCCTACATATAGTTTTGAAATGAAGTCTTTTCAAAACCATTTCTATTCGTACCCATATTGTAACCTTTTTTATAACTTCGGTATAATTCAAGTAAATTCGACTTTTCAAACAGGTGGCAACCCTCTTCAAAATATTTTTAAATTACAAGCTTCTTCAAACTCTCTCATCTGAAACCTATGTATATGTGATATATATTTCAACTACAAACTTTCCTTAACTCAAGTTGAATATGGCTTTTTAAACATTTGAAAATGAATGAATGAAGTCTTTTCAAATAATTTCTACTGATACCCTTTTGCCATAATTTTTCAAAAATATTTCGAAATTACAATCTTCTTAAACCTCTTTCATCTGACACCCATATTGTGATATACACATATGTATGTATTTCAACTACTTAATTTCCTTAATTTAAGCTGAATATGGGTTTTTAAACACCTGGCAACCCTGATACATGTAGTCTTTTCAAAATTATTAAATAATTTGAATCGAATTTAATTTTTAAACGCTTTTAAAAATATTCGAAAGGTTCAAACTTAAGATTTCTTAACAATCTTTCATTTGAACCCATATTTCAAAATTTCATATAACTTCGGTATAATTTAATCAGCAGCTGTCAACCAACGTTTTTTCATATTACAACCTTCTTCAACCTCATTCATCTGACACCCATTTTGTGAGCACATATTTCACTGATTACCTTAATTAAAGTTGAGTTTGACTTTTTATACAGGTGGTAACCGCCCTTCAGGTAGGGTATAAGAAATGGGGCCTTCTTAAATCTATTTCGTTTGATTTCCATATAGTTATAATGCATTTAAATTCGTTTGCATAAATGCATAGTTTTAGGAAACAAATTATTAAAATCGGTTTAGTATTTTTTGAGCTAAGGCATTACAAACATTGCACATATAATCCACTTGATCTGCAGGTTGGTGCAAATCAATTTATTTCTCATTTGAAGCAAAGTGATTTTAATGTTATTAAAGAATTTGCAGCATGAAACTAAAATTGGAAATCTAATTAGGAACGCTCGTAAAATTATACAATACTTATTATTGCTTTTCAAGTTGTGAACAACGAAAAATTTATGGGAATGCTACCTTTTGCAAAGCAGAATTGTGTATGTTACACGACTACCATTTATAGGGTGTCCCAAATTTTTTGCAATCTGCATCATTTTAAATGCTTGAAATTTTAGCATAATTTATCATATCACGCCGGAATTCCGCCATTATATTATTTATTGTACGTATACTTTTTTTTATAAAATGAATTTTAACATTCTTACTGCTAAACGAGATAAGAAAATGGCTTCAAAGGGGCAGTATCTCTGTGATTTTCAGCAAAGAATTGCACTATTTATTCATAACTACGATTTGGATTTCTATCTATAAGTCGTTACGTAACATACATACACATCCGGCCAATAACCTACCCACCGAGTCCCAGTTACACTAACGGCTTGGGCAGGCCTCATAAAAAAAAATATATAAAATAAATCATTATACAATGAAGCCCAAAAAACTGCACCAACCAGTGGCAAAATGTGGATACATTTCTTTCTCAACAATTATGATGATTTAGCTCGAAAAATCAGCCGTGCTAATTTTCATTAGTTTTGAAATACATTTTATACAAAAATGAAAATGCGCTGTTCTGCCATGTAGTGCAGCATTTTTACTAATCACATCTTGGTAAGTTTTGGGACACCCTGTAAGTACACTAGTTGCCAAATTTTCTACTAGTAAGTATTGGTACATACACTGTACTGCATGCATATACATTCATACAAGTATAATACTTATATGTATATGTAGGTACAAGTGCATTTAAATGCTCATAAAATAGTCTCTTGGTTGCAATTGCATCCTTTGCGACATTGTAACTTCTACTTAGGTTTTATTTCTTGGATTTGGCTGATACTTCTTCTTTCCTGCTACATTTCCTAAAAACTTAATTAATGTTTCTGTGTGTGCAAGCATGCATTTATCTGTAATTAATGGAAAATTGCTGTCTAACTTCAATTGGTAACTTTAGTAGATACACGAGCAATTATGTTAAAGACATGTGTGTGTGTGCTGAGTAAAATTTTTGGAGAGGTTACATGGCAAGCAATTGCTTAGAGGTAAGAGAAAAAGCAGTAGAGTAATTAAGTGCTATTTATATATATTTAGTAGCTTTTTCGTGGAATAAATCTGATCATTTAATTCAGACTAGTTTTTGAAGTAGCTTGGATGCTAAAAAGGCATTTCGAAAGCCTCTTACTCTGAATAATGGAATCTTTTGTATAAGATCAGACGACAGCTTAACCATTGCATTTTTTAGCGCAAGCTTGAGGTTTTCCAAATATTAGGCACAACAAGTGAAGTAGTATAATAGTTCATTTCCACCAAGCCTTAACTGCAGTTAAGGGTCATAAGAAAAATTAGATTACACCTAAAAGGGGGAAATGGCTCATATTAAATACAGGCAAATGAAAATAAAGAAGCAAATAGTAAGAAATAACCTTTGCTGTTCACCCCATGTTCAAATTATTGGAACTTACCTGAGCTCTTAACTGCAGTTAAGTTTTCGGTGAAAATGGGCTATAAGTCTCCGGACTCGTATTAAACACCGTTTTTTCATCTTTCTGACAAAGGCAAGGGTGGTTTTTTCCCCCCATTTCCAACAGCTAAATTAGGCTTGAAAACGATTACGGTTGTTTGACTTGAACTAGAAGGTCAACTTTCGGCTTTTCGATGGACTTTAAAAGTCGACCGATCAACAAAGAAAAGTGGACTTTTTTCGAAACTTGAAAAACAAAAATATATATTATATTCTGCATTTGACTTATTACGAGAGTTCACTCTTTGATGCGAAAGGCAAAAATGAGCGCTTTGTTTTGCACAAAAGCGTAAAAAGTGTTGGTGCTTTGGCTGCGAAATTTCAGACAGTTCAGCCACAGCGCGGTGTTAAATATTCGTTGCGCTTCGTTTGTGCTGTCACTTTAACTGCCGAAGCGATGAACGAACACCACAGAACAGCACAGCTTCCTCGCTCTTTGTATTTAAGCCAGGGTTTCAGCTGAGCGTTTGTGCGAAACTTAAAGTGCGAAACGTTGCCATATGTTTGTTGTAAAAACTGCCGAATATTTCACATTTTCGCACTTGAATTTTTTGTTGTTTTCTTATTTTTTTCAAATTCTTGTTTTATTCAAAGTGACGACTGGAATGCAAAGGACAGCTGAAACCATTTCTTTCCTATGAGGAAACGCTGCATTTCCATAGTCCCCTTTTACTTTAAAAATAAACTCACAAAGAGAAATTTAAATTTGGAAAAAAAATTTAACTTGTACTAAATAGGAGGTAATTCAAAGAACAGTACTTTTTGGATTTCAGGGCGTATGATGAACGCAAGAATGCGTAACCTTTCCCTTGAACTGCAAAATAACTGCGAAATCATAAGGCCAAGCGAGCGTTATTTACCCATAATTAATGTTTTAAATTTAAAAATAAAGATTTAGCCACCTTTTTACTTAATTGTAAACAATATATGTAAATGGAAATTAGAGAAATTGGCATAAATATTAAGTAAACATTGATAACCCAAGCTATACTCGCGTTAGTTCTATTCCCTCAACAAAAAATGTTGTTGTCGCAGAAAGCAATACAAACAATGGGCCTCATGCATAAAAAGTGAGCTTAAGCTCAGATTCAATTTTTGCACAGATGGAGTGAGTTCAAGTTGAAGAATTTGTACTGAGAATCGAGTCGGAGCTTGGGCTCACCTTTTATGCTTAAGGCCCAATATTTCCATACATTCACATTAACACATCCTCTATACTTTTTACTAGTTTGGCTATAGTTTTACCTCATTTTTCGCCATAAATATTCAGCATTAAATCACTTATTAGGTCTGAAATATCACTTTGGTTCATTAAGCTAGACATTCGCTTCATCAGTGATCTTTGTTTTTTTTTCATCTATAAAATGTCTCCCCCAAGCATCATTTAGCTTTGCGTTAGCCGCTGTCTGCTCTTTAATGAGCATCATCGCTTAATTTTCATCGTCACTTCACCTACACTACTTATGTATGTATGTAAATACATATGTGTTTGCTGTTGCTTTCGATGGCAAAAATTACCCTGCAGAGAAATGTTCAAGTACTCAAAGATTCCAGTAGTTGAACTGGCATAAGCACATCCAAACCGAAACGTGACTAAGGATTTTAACTTGACAAGTTCAACCAATTTGAACAACCTGCAAAACTCTTATTTCTTTCTCCAGTTTTCTTCAGAATCGGTCAGCCAACAAAATCAGACTAAACAGAAGCATTCCTGATATTAGTGTAGATATAGACATGGTTCTCGAAAAAATATACTCCCAATATGGTGAACAAAAAGGATGCGATTACTTTTCCACGCAGATATTTACTAACTTTTCATACAGAAATGAAATGTACTTCAAATTTCTCATGAAGAAATTAGTAGGTACTTAAAAAGGCATTCTTTTCGGAACCACATTATGCACGGTCCGACGGGGATATGCTTGTGCGTTTCTCTACATACGTGTGATTACCTATAGAGATTTTCCTTACTATTTTCTTTAGTTGCCTCTTGGCATATCTCACACATCTGCCTGTTAAAATAACCTCATCTATGCACATGGCAGGCTTGTGTAGACGTGTGTGTGCATTTATTTCTACATAATTTTGTGTATACATACATATATTTATTAAGAATATGTGCGATAGAGTTAATATATTTTTGAAGAAACGTGGATATATTTACATATGTATGTATGTACATTAGACTGCATCACTCCACTTAAAAAAAAAAAAAAAAAACAAAAAAAAAATCGATACTGTTTTTCCCTTGGAATTATAAAATCTATTATATTTTAAGACTTGCACCGAAATATTTCGGAAAAATATTAAGATTTACGTGAGCTGGCCCAATTTGAAAATAACTCAACAATTTTAGTTTTTTATAAATATAAATATTTTTTTGAAAAAAATCCCTTCAGGCAACAAAACAGTTTAAGCTTAAAAAATTTGCATACAAATATTTAAAACAAATTTTCTACAGAATCATAATACATAATGACATTTTGGATGCTGTTATTGAACTTTTTTGAAAGATTGGTTTAAGAAGCACTTGAATAACTCAGCCAAAACTTTACCGATCTAGGCTTAAGAAGTATCATTGGAAACGTGCTTTCTCACCCTTTTTATTTCTTTCCAAATGAACTCATTCAAGGTATAAAAAAGAAAGGTAAGATGAACCAGCGTCATTCCAAGTTAAATTAAAATGTGTTGATTGTGAAAAAAAATTGGACGTGAAAAAAATTTTTGCAAAGAAATCAAAATAGTAAGAAAATGCCTTTCCACTGATACTTTAAAAGTCTAAATCGGTATAGTTTTGTCCCAGTTATTCAAGTTTTTCTTAAACCAATTTTAGAAAAAATAAAAACAGCATGAGAAATCTTATTATTACGATTCCGTCAAAAAAAATTTAATATGTTCCTCAGATTTTCTAAGCTTAAACCATTTTGTCATCTGAGGAGATTTTTTTTTTCAAAAAATTAATTAAGAAACTATTTTTGTTCATAAAAAATTCCATACTTGCAGGTATTTTCAAATCGGTCCAGCTCACGTAAATCTTATTATTTTTCCGAAATATTTTGGTGGACATGTTCAAATATTTATAATACATTTTGTAATTCCGATGGAAAAACCACAACCTTTTAAAGTTGATGCAGGTCTAATGAACATACATACATTTCATTACAATGTGTGTGTAGCTGTCACTCAACGGTGAATGGTTTTCTTGTGCCAATTAATAGTCGGTTTGTGGCTGTCTTTGTTGTTGTAACAGGTATTGTGCTGTGGTGGGTAAGTACAAAAAGGTGTTCACCAAATTAACCGCACCATTTCCGCTATTTACAAAGCCAAGAGTTTGCACAAGGGGTTAAAGTAGATTTATAACTTTATATGCAGTTAGGGTAAGTTAATGTATAATTGATAGATACATACTACGTACATACATAAGCAGTGTGTGTTGGCTGCTGGTAGGCTTTTGTTTAATTTACCAATGATTTACTCATTTAGCCCTTTCTTGCTCAAAATTTTTCTTGACGACATTAAATTCGTATTTATATTATGTTTCAGTGGTGATGCTTTAGCAACGCTCTTTTCTGCATTATATGGCAAATTACTGGTGGTAATGGGCATCGCCTTTCCAATGGCCGAAGTTATATCTACTTATATACCACCTTCCTTTTATGAGGTAAGTTAAATAGATATTAATAGCGTCTTTAAGAAATCAGGAAGAAAAACATTTTTATTGTGGGGTAAAATCTGCAAATATAAATTCGATACATTTTAAAAAAGGGCACTTGCCAGGATAACTTATTTGTCAAACAGTAATATTTCCTCACACATTTGTACATATTTGCACATTTTGGCAGTTACACAGTGGACCTTTTTTTGATTGAACTGAACGCATTCTCGAATTACGAATTTCTAGACACCCGCACTCTGTGATTGCCAAAGTGTTCAAATCAGTACAATTGTACAAATCGTGTGAATCCTGCTCAAGTGTAAGAACTAAAGCTATAACAAATGTATAAAATTAAAGTGAAAAATAATTAAGAAGAAAAAGTGAGACCCAATTAAGCTGAATTATTACAAAAATGCGTACTCATAATATAAATTATCTTAATCTTGCATTATGAAGTGCCATCAAGTTAATTAGCTGCAAATCAATAGATTTCTACGCTAGTAAGCTTATTCTTTTTACTTAAGGGCTGTTTACAGCTCTCAAGAAAAATCACAAGAAATATTTTTCATTATTTCTGTTGATTGAAAAAGTACTTTGTTTTTGGAGAAATAAATTATTCTAGTACTTTTTCTTGAGAGCTGCAAACTGATTTAGGAAATCTGGATTGAAGAAAATTTCGTTTCCATTTCTTGTGCGTCATTTTATATCTGTGCATTTTTCACAGACTAAGCGTTGAAGTTTGGTAAGTCCGACCTGTGGGAACTTAACTTCTTCATTCTTCAATCAGGCGCGTGCAGAATTTTATAGGAAATGGTTTCATACACCCTGCTTTCTAATTTGGGCTTGACTCCGAATTTTCAGTCCATTAGCTTCTGGCAGGTCTAATATCGCATTTGGGCAGTGTAATGTGAAAAAAATACATACGTCTATGTGTTTAGGTAGATATGCACCTGACGAAATCACTCACTTTACCGCGTCCAAAATCATTTGTCTTGTTGAGCAAATCGTTTGAAAAGTGTTTTAAAGGTGTAGCAAGGAAAAAAAATAAATTTTTAAGCTCCAACAACGTTTAAAAATCCACACCATTTTAATTTGATATATGTTCAGCTTTTAACGTGTTAGTGTGACATTTAACCAATGTTTTGAGGCAACTCCCTGCAGACAATCTAAGAAGACAGAAAACATGGCAAACAAGACAGGCGCGTTAACACAACTACAACTACAACTAAAACTACAACACGTAAAAAAAAATACTCAACTATCTGCTTGGCAAGTCAAGTCGTTCATCTTCTTCACCAATCCATTTATTTGCCGCTTCGGTTGCCCATGGCAAGGCGCTGTTGTACAGCCTAACGGTTCGATTGACTGGCTGTTACGGTTGGCCTGAAGTCATGCCACATGTCATGTTCAATTGCAGACAACATTAACTCATTGCTGCTTGCTGCAAATGTCGTGCAGTCCTTGTTTGCTGTAATCCTTTTGTTTCTCCTACGTAGGCTGCTATTCGCATACAAACATACCTATATACATACATATGTATGTATATGTGTTGTTATTGCAAGGCGCAGCGTAGCCATAACATTTTGTCATCTGCTGCAACTAACGACTCACCCACACACCAATTGACTGACTCACTTTAGTACGTAGTTAACGGTTTTCACGTTTCCATCACGCTTAAATTGTTATTGCATATTTGCGGGCGTTCGCAAGGAAGGACTAGAAAAGTTACTATTGTGTAGCGCGTCTTCGCTTGCGCGTGTATTTGTAAACTTGTTTTTCATGCTCGCTTAAATGCCATCTATTGATTTGATTGCGGAAGTGCTTTCAGTCTGGATTAATAGGCATCGTTAGCAAACAGTTCGGTTATGTGTTAACTACGCTGATATTATCGATTGTCGCGGCCAAAACGTTGTGGTGGTAGAGAGTTCAATAAATCTTTTCTCGGTCAATCATATGTCAACAGCGTCGTGGGAGCAGCAAAGCGCAATGCTTCAGGACAATATTGATTTGAATATTTTCGCATGAATAATTTTTGCTAATAAATAGTTGTAGCTTCGCCGTTTTAGCGTAAAGGTGAGTGGTTATTCCTCAACACTATCCGCTATATGGCGCTGCCGATATTTCAAAACTGTGAACAGAATTATCAATCCGGGACGTAATAAGCGACTCAGTTCAAAGCGAAATTTTTGCAGTAGGTTCTGCTTGTATGTATTCGTTGCTCCGTAGGATTCTAGGGCATTTCTCATAGTGTTCGCTGCCAACATTATGCCCGACTTCACAAATTATTCATAAAAAACCATTTGCCAATTAAAATCGACGACAAAATATGGAATGGAAGCACAAGAACTGGGCAGGGTTTTCAAATTGGCTCAAAATATATTTTTTGGTCTTTTAGACCATTGTTACATAATTTTTAGTATTAAAAACCCACAAAAAAAGGCATTTTTCTGTAGATGAGGACAGATTTTACGATGGTCAAAATTGGTTGAAAATAAGGCTTAAAGCGTCATTTAAAATTTCCATATTTGCATAGAGTAAGTGTTGCAACCTGTGTAATTCGATTTGTTTTCGAATTTTGTTTTACTTAGTATTTGAAATGAGACTTTTTAATAAAGATAAATGTGAAGATAGAGAAAGATATAATGAAGACAAAATTGAGGATAAAGACGAAAATGAAAAAAATGAGAATACAACATTATAGTACATAAGAATTAGAGCACTTAAGAGGGTAAGAAAATTCAATGAAATATTTCGATAAGGTTCATCGGAAATTTAGCTATCGAAAGTTATCACACCAAACACCAAACCAAAGTTTATAGTTATCGAAATTTATCGGATCAGCCCTGTTTATTAAGTTATGGGAATGTATCGAGTTATTGAAAATGATCAATGTTTATTGAGTTATCGAAATTTATCCAGACGCAGAGACTTTGTTGTTGAAATGTACCGATTGTTTTCGATTTATACAAATGTATAGTATTGTCGAAATTTATCAATTTAGTAAAATTTTATATTATAAATTTATTGATTTATCAAATTTATAGAGTGACTAAAATTTATATAGTTATCGAAGTTTTTCGAGTTACTGAATTTATTATTGAGTTATCGATATCTACTTATTTATTGAAATTTGTTGCTAGATATTGAAATTCGTCGGTTTGTGGAATCGAATTTTTGGGAATTTTCAAAATATATCGGGTTATCGAAATTTCATGTTTTTATTGAGTTATCACTATTTATCGAGTTATCGAAATTCGTCGATAGATATGGAAATTTCTGAAGCTATCAAAACCGAGTTATCGATAAACATATATCAACATATGTTAATTTTTAAGTTATCGAAATTCTTCTAGTTCTGGAAACGCACAGTTATCTAAATTTATCGATATTTGTAGAGCTATCGAATTTTGTCGAGTTATCCGAATTTAGTGTTATTCGCATGCTTGTGATTCCCAGTGGGAAATGTAGTAATGCATTGCATGCTGGATAAATAATGTAATGTTCTTCTTATGAGTTTTAGATTCTATTACTGTTTAATGTGTAATCAGAATTCTAATAAACATATATAATAAATTCCAAAAATTTCATATTAAAGCACATAGATTTCTCGATACTAGGTAATGCAAAACTGAATGCCCCAATTGTCTTAGAAAAAATTATTTACGAATGTGAAAAGGGTTGTATTTACTGATTATTTTTTCGATTACCATACATTACATTTCCCCACTGGATGTGGGGGATAAATAAAAAAGTTGTGAATGATCAAATGAACACGAGCAATGGTTTTTTGTATGAAATATGAACAGGAAAGGATGTTATGAGTAACATTCTTTTCTGCTCGTAAGTGTTGCATTTGCAACTTTTTTTGTTTATTCATAGATTTTCTTCGTTAGTACAAAGCTGGATTTTGTTGTCGTAACCTGGACCGGCATTTGAAGCAATGATGCCCGGGGCATAAATGGCGCGATGCGCCCTTTGATGATGCTTCTTTTTCTTATAGAATAATCAAAGTATGAAAAAATGTCGAAATTACTAATTTTTATTATAATCAAAATTTTCAAATATTAATTACAAAAATTTTACTTTGTGGGCTTTTGCTTGAGCAAAATTTTTCGTTGGTTATGAACAAGTTAATCTTAGTAGCCATCTCGTTTTCTATAGATAAGATAGCTAAAGCGTTTAATCTTTCTTCATGAGCTTCAATTTCGAAAAAACTTCGCTTCCCGCTGGCAACAGTTACTGGCAAATCAACAAAATCCTGGGGAAACAATAGGAAAGACATCGATGATACTTTGCTTTCTGCAGTGGCTGCAGCGGTGTCCATGTTTACTCAGGAGATTCAATTGTAGTAGGATGTTATATGTAGTTATGTATATATGAATAAAAATTGTATGCTTGCGACCACAAGAAAAAGCTAGAATTGCAATATTACTTTTTTAAATAAATAAGTACTTTTTTTCAAATTTACTTTATCTCTAAATTTTTCATCCACAGGTGTATTACCTATACTTGTACATTGGAAGTATGATATTCCTGCTCTTCATGTATGCAACACTGCTTTGGGGTCGCCCAAAAATTCCAGTGAATATAAGTAAGTACAAAAAGCAAAGAACATCAAAAGTGAATTAAAAAAAAAAAACAGAATACAATCCCAAAAGACAAAGCGACATCCTTTAATGCCAAATAACCACTTTGCATCCAAAAGTTCCAATTCATACTTTCAATTAAATGTCGACGTAACATTTAATTTTTGCTTCTGGACTCGAAATCATTACGCACACATACGTATATGCATACATAGCATGAAAAAATGAAGCATAGATGCTGAAAATAATAATTAATCAAAAGGCGAATAACGAATAAAAAATAGGGTATTGGTAATTAAAATGTTTTTCCAGCATTTTATTTATTTTCATTATTGCGCTCTTGTCATTACCAAACATCAACGTTAATCGCGCCGAACATCCTTTTTTTCACAATTAAACAACCAAACAGCTCTTACAAACATTTATGTACACCACAAACCATGCATATAAACATTAAATGATATTTTATCCTTTCCACTCTCTGTTTCTTCCTTCCATTTCTGCAGCATCACCCAGTAAATCCGCTTCAAAAGCACGCTCTTCCACTGCCTCGGATAGTATGGACGAATCGGACACTGACAGCAATTCGACGCACACCAAACGCATACCAACGGTGATACCGGCCCGAAGGCCCTCGCTGTTGGCACCGCTCGGTCGACAACATCACTATGGCTCCTTCTATCTGCGCATGGGTGCAGTGGGTGAGTATTTATGTAAATAGTACAAACTTTGGGAGATGATGTTAAAGCACCTACCACATATACTACTAGCATACATACATATGAACATAAGGACGTTGAAGTGGTAAAAGTGAAGCGCCAAAGTTGAACGAAGCAAATTTTATATGTATGTAGTTTTAAATATCCTTTTTTATTTATGGGTGCATGTTTATGTACTTGTGAAGGTCCATGTACTACTACTATGCATATCAACCGTCCGTCGAGCATCTTGAATTGCGTGAAATAAAATCGCGAGCTCTCGCATATATATTCGTTGAATTTATGAAGATTTATTTGCTGACTGTACAGCGTAAGCATTTTTATGCATTTAATGAAAATTTATGAAGCTGCAGCGCTAGACGTACATATATAGATGTATGTATGTACTTGCATACCAGTACTGTTCCGCGTAAATTATTTTGCAACACTCTCACTGTAAGTGGCTTTTTTATGGGCCCGCAAAACTGAGACAAGTCAGCACCGAACCGAATTTCGTATATTTAACACACTTTGCTCACGCAGTAGTAAAAGTAAAGTGAGCATCTTAAGGGAGCATATTTTCCGCTACATAAATTATGTACTCGTAGTAGGTACTCACTTTGAAAAATAAAAGTTGGAATCTATTTCGAGTTTGGCAGGATGCTTATATTTCAATTCCCAGTTAGTAGGAACAAGTTTGAGATACCGATGATTAGATTAGATTATGTACGCTCAATGATGTAGGAAAGACATATTAATTTTTAAGGAAGGATCACTCATTTGTAGTATTTTATTATTTGCCAAATTTTGTTTTGTTGTTTTCAAATCACTGTGCACCGATAAAAAAGTTCCAACTTCAAAAAATAAAAATCTGAACCCATTTATACAGCCCAAGGTCTTTATTCCACCTCCTATAGTTGAAATTGGAAAGAACGGTGGCAATCTGATGACATTCACAAAAAATTCCCTCTCGTATAATATACGTCCATATATACTTAATTAGATCAGTATGACTTTTCGAAAAGGTGAAAAGCCTCATAAAAGATATTTATTTGTTTATTCGAGATTTCATTTCATAAAACTTGACTATACAAACAGGTGGAAATCCTTTTCGAACGTATTTTCAAGCTAAAATCTTTTTCAGTCTCTTTCTCTTGTGATGCAAATTTCAATTAAGTGATGAATAAATTTGAATTTGATTTTTCAAACACGTGGCAGCCCTCCTAAATAAAGGTCAAATATAAAACCTTTACAAAACCATTTTGATTGATATCCATCTCTTGATAATTCATCTAATTTAATTCGAATAATTTGAATGCAACTTTTTGAACAGGTGGCAACCCTTTTACAATATCATAATTTCTCCTTCTAAAGATTTCTTAACATTCTATCGTTTAACACCCGTATTTTAGTATTTCATACAGTTTGTATATAAGTTAATCAAATTCGACTTATCAAACAGGCGGCAACCCTCGTAAAAAGTATTTACAAGCTAAAACATTGCTAAATTCCTTCGCCTCGCATGGTGAATAATATTTAAAAAAACTGATGAACTAAGTTCAATCTGATTTTTTAAACATGTGGCAACCCCAGAAATATACTTCAAAACTAAAGCCTTTTCAAACCCATTTCGACTGATATCCATATTTTAATAACTCATTTGGCTTTTAATTTAAATAATTTGCAATTAAATTTTTAAACGGGTGGCAACCCTCTTCAACCACCTCAAAAATATTTCTAGTATTCAAACTAAAAATTTCATAAAAATGTTTGCACTTGACACCCGTATTTCAAATAATTTTCGTATAAGTTAATTAAATTCGACTTTTTCAACAGGTGGCAACCCACTTCAAATGTAGTTTTAAGCTTTTCGCAATAATAAAACTAGTTTGCACATCTACAGGCCAAGCGCTTTTATTTGACACGCTATATATGAAAATCGAGCGAACGGTGCAGATCTTGATGTCCTGGACAAAAAATCCCTTCGCGTATTATATATATAGATTATATACATATATAGATATGTACTAAAAGTCAATGACCTTTAAAACGAAAAACAAAAACTAAATTGTCTCCTTGAGATAACAAAATCGATATGTTTCAGGAAAAATATGAAAAAAAATTAAAATTTAGAAATAGCTTTGCAAAAATACTTTGAATTCGAAGCTGTGTAGGTAAATATAAACAGTGAAGATCTCGAATCGTCGACACTTCGATTATGTATATAAGGTATCGATGTAACGGTGTTGTCCATAATCCACCATCGATCTGGACCTAAAATTTTTTCAATAAGGAAAGCGGAAGAGATACCGCAAGAAATAAATAGAGAGCCATAAAGGCATACTGCGTTCCGGGACCTGAATGTGTTGAAAGTACCGAAAGAGGGGACGAGAACAGCGGACAGATTCACTTACGCGCTGTTCCCTCACTCTGCTGGCTTAATTCTATAACGAAAAATGGGTCATAAATAATAAAAGTGCCAAAGGGGCGTTGTTGGTTGTTCTTAGCGCTTTTTTTTAGCGAAAATTTCTAAATCTCTTTCGAAGGTAATTAAAAATTTTTTTTTCGCAAACCATTCGGTAGTGTAACGATTTTTAAGTAATGGATCTATTGGAAAACGCGATTAATTAAACTGTTGGAATTGAACTGTTTTGTTAAAGCAATGTGTGGCATATGTGTGATATTTATAACCTCTAGCATTAATACGCTTACTTATTAACCTTTTCACGCAACCACTTAAATATCTTCACTCTAGGAGATCCTATCTCGACAGCCCCCACTAATCGTTGGGCAAGTAGCATTTTTCGATTGATATGAGGGGATGAAGTGCAGAGGAGAGTTCGTGAAAATAATTTAAAATTGTTTTTATAATTTATCCTCGGAATAGGTGAAAAGGTTCAGTCAATTTTGTTTTTTTTTTAATTTAGTTTCTGTTGCAGAATTGCAGGTAATACGAAACTACATCGATTTTTCCTCTCTCCTGAATAATTTCAAAAAATACACTTGGCACTTTTCACCCTTAGTTGACGATATATATCATCCATTTTTTATTTATGAGCAAGTGCTGAGTTTTTAAATTATTTTATCACATTCAAGTAGTTTTTTTTTTTATTTCCATATACTCCAATGAATAGTGTATCGACCACAAGCTGCTTAGCATTGTACTGAGTATTATTTCTATGCAGCTTCGACTCCACTCCGCCTTTCACATACTCGTACTCTTTGGTTGAAGTTACATTTCCCTAGGGAGCTATAAAAACAATTGAAAATGTAAAATGGCCACTTACTCGTACCCAATATAATACAAACGTACAAGTATGCACTTACGCAAGTATGTATTTACATTAGGGTGCATCACTCTACATAAAAAAATTTATCAGATTTTGTTGCGGCAAATGTTAAAGCTGTGTTTGCAGATCGAGTTTTTTTTCGTTTTTGTTGGCCTGTGTAATTTATTATACGCGTATTTTAAGACTTTCGCCAATAAACTTTTTTCCGGAAAATATTAAAATCTCTCAACGTCGAGTTTTTTATTAAAAAAAAATAGTTTTAAGTTTTGTTTTCTTTCTAAAAATCTGCTCAGATTATAGACGAGTTTAAGCTTAAAAAGTGTGCACACCATTTTTATTTATTTTTTTTTTTTTTTTAATTTTATCAAAATAATGAAATACGTAAATCTTGATATTTTTCCGAAATATTTTGGCGGAAGTTTTTAAAATACCCTTATAATAAAATATATAATTCCGGTGAAAACTCGAATTTTTTTTGTTGAGTCGCCCTAATATAAATAGTTATACTTATAGTAGTTACTTACAAATATACTGAGCCAATGAAAAACCACTCAAATAAGCGCAATTTCTTTTTATGACTATCTTTTTTGGCCAAAACGAACCATTTCAGAAGGATAAAATAAATGCAACTTTTTTCTTCTTGCCTTGGCGAGCATAAAGTTTTTTTTTTGAGAACCAATCAATAGTGGATTACATGCAAGAAATATCTTGCGCTAAAAATCATATTTTTTTTTTATTTCACATCTTTAAACAGTTTAAAGTGCCGGGAATTTTTTGAGAAAACAGTGTAGTTGATTTCACTCTGCTGAATCGTCTGTGCAGCTTCCACTGGTTGGAAATGCTTTCGGTTTTTCTCTGTTTAGCTGTAAGTAATTTCTGTCATGCTCGCTTTTTGTTTACTGATGTTTACTGCGTGAACGAGGTTACTTTGATTTTCCGTCAATATTCCGGGAGTAACCCATTTTCCTTTCAACAGTTCGTTAGCGCCATCACAAAGCATTTTGATGTAGCAGCTGGCTGCCATTTGCTTGATTTAAATTTGTCTGCCTAATTGACGTCGTAATTTGGTTAATGACGCCATTTCAAGCTGTTACAATTACTAATTCATGCCTAATTTTTTATTATCTCGCTGTTATCCTTTACTTTCTATTTATTTCTTATATCCCNATTTCGAGCTGAATCCGGACACTAAGTGCCACAATGTGCTGTTGGCATTGACACCAGCGACGCGAATGGCTTTCATTTTCATACAAATGTATTTTATATTCCTGAATAATGAGGTGAGTACAGGCATTTTTTCGTTTGTTTAACCAACAATTATAACTTTTTTTAAATTAATTTAAATTGACTTGTGGAATATGAAATGATGAGAAGGATAGATTAGATTACTTATTAGAGCAGGGAAATATCTCCTAGGAGCTTCTTCTCTAAACGTGTTCCCTAAAGGGAGGCTTGAGTTTAGCGCAGTGAACTTCTTCACTGAACGGCAGGGTTGGTCTTCTGTCGAGAGCTTTCCGTCAACAATAAGTTTAGGCATCCGGACTGATGCAGTTTATTTCAGGCAGAAGTGGCTGCATTTTGGGATACACTGCTCGGGAGTGCATTGATAGTTAGGCTTACCTCCCTGCTCTCTCTTTCAGTTGCGTCTGAATACTTCTGTATTGGGCTCTTTTGGGTTCCAGGTCACAGCGACATTAAATCATTTAAATTGACTTGTGGAATATGAAATGATGAGAAGGCTAGATTAGACCACTTATTAGAGCAGGGAAATATCTCCTAGGAGCTTCTTCTCTGCACGTGTTTCCTAAAGGGATGATTGTGTGGAGCGCAGTGAATTTCTTTACTGGACGGCAGGGTTGATGGTGTGGTCTTCTGTCGAGAGCTGTCGAGGCTTCCGGACTGCTGTAGTGTGTTTCAGGAAAAAGTGGCAGAAGTGCATTTCAGAAGGCAGTGGATTCACTGCTCAGGAGTGCGATGATAGTTAGGCTTACCTCCCTGCTCTCTCTCTCTCAGTTGCGTCTGAATACTTCTGTATTGGGCTCATTTAGATAGCAACTTTCCCTGAAACCCCGAATAAGGAACCTGCGTACATTAACGGATAGATGGATCGGACCTCATATGAGCTCAGCGTGCGTTGATCGAACAACAGTTTATGCGCGATTGTAAGGTCTTCCTGGACGAAGACGCTTGTCGCAGTTGCCTGGAAGATCAGGAGGCATAATCATCTCAGCACTACCTGCTTAAGTCCCCAGCGTTCGCGAGAATAATGTTGAAATACTTTGCCTCGCACGTCCTTAATATCCCTGAAAGGTTCTGGGGCATTGCAATTAGCCGGATTCGTAATTACATAATGGGATCGAAATGTCGTATCGATTAAGTAGTGGGTTCAGTTCAAAATGGGGTTTAAAAAGGACAATCTCTTAATTATGTAGGTGAGTCTTTTACTTCTGGGACTGCCGCCTAACCTAACCTTAACTAGAGAAGGGAGCAAGTTCAATTATTACCGCGACCAGAAGTTATCTATTGTAAGAAATCTTGAATTGGTTACAGGTCTTCCTTGAACCACGTATCGGCTTAGAACCACGAGATACCCATTGTCGAGGTGCCATTTAGGGCATCTACTTTTAGGTACAGCAATCCTGGAAAACAGAAAAATCTGCTTCTTGCTGAAAAATCCAGGATTGACCAATGGATGCGAAGACTATTAAGAACTGCATCGAAAAAAATTGTACGCCATGTATTCGTTTATATTTTTACAGCAAACCAACTTGATAATGAGACCAAAATAATCCTATCTTATTTTACAATTGATATCTCTTTCTTACAGCAAATCAAGGTATATCGCTACAAGATAATCGCACGCTTCGGTCTCATGCATATGATTGGCACGAATTTGGCCGTCTGGCTGAACGTGCTCATACAGGAGACGAAACATGAAATTCTTACTTTCTACAATCCCGAGAATCGCACACTACGCATCTCACATCGCATTCCGGGTCACTCGCGGGGACATGCCGTCGCACCGACGGTCATCACATCCGATCCGACGGCACACTTACGCTTACCGCGTGGCCTCAAAGGACCCTATCAAATATTTGAGTGTCGCCGAACCAACATAATTGGCACACTCGTACAGGACGCCTCACCGTTCCTTTTCCCCTGCACCATAGAGTATTCGCTCATTTGTGCCGCCATTTTGTATGTGATGTGGCGTAGCATTTCGCGTCCGCAAACACCAGCGCCACAGCGTCCGGACACCATCAGTTCGCCGATGAAGCGCTCTCCCCATCACTATTCGGTGGATTGTGCGCGTGCCCACAAGGGTCTCTTCGTTGGCATACTCATACTCGTGCTGACCATCATTTCGCTCATTCTCTTCTTCGTGTTGATCTCGCGACCGGATTTTGTCGCCCTGGCCGTGACCGAAGTGACCATCTGTGAACTCCTCATCTACGGCACCGCTACAATAGCAACACTAATTGGCATGATACAAATACGACATTTGCAATACGATTGGTATCGCAGCTTCTCATTGGATGATATATTGTTAGTTGGCGCGCAGACTGGCTCCTTCTTATACAACATCTTTACAGTGATTGCGGGTCATTTTACATTGCGTAGCGATGATATGTTAGTGCCATTGAATGCACTCGCCTCCATTGTGCAAACAGCTTGCCAAACGTTATTCATATTGGATGCTAGTCGGCGACAAGCCATCAAACCAGAGCATATACGAAAGAAACCCGGACGAGAAATTGTGACTTTCATGTTGGTGGTGAATCTAGCGATGTGGGCTATCAGCACGCTCGAGAAATCACGCGCCGAATCGCATCCGATACAGCTGAATTTCTACGGTCTGTGGGCGTGGACGATAATAACGCACGTCTCAATGCCGCTAGCAATATTCTATCGTTTTCACTCAACCGTTTGCCTCTGTGAAATCTGGAAGCGCGCATACAAGCTCAAACCGACCTATATGTGAGAGTTTGCGCGCGAGCGCATTGCAAGCATTGCGCAACAGCAACAGTTCTGTGAAGATCTCAAAACCAATCTGTCGTACTGCTACTGCTCGACAACACTGGCTGGTGGCGAACTCGAGACCGTCGAAGAGGCGGAGAGTGGCGAGAGCAACGGCTACGAAGAAGATGACGAGGGTGAGGATGGCGGCAATGGTGACGTTGGTGGTGCTGGTACCGATACGACCGCAGCGGTGCTGGAAAGCGGCACCGGCACAGCAGCGACCGAAGAAGAGGAATTGGAAACGACAGAGGGTGATGGATTGGAAGTGAAACAACGACCAAAACAAACGAAACCGAATGGCAGCGAACAGAGAAAGAAGCAGCAGCAGCAGCGGCAGCCGGAGCAAAAACCCAGGCAACGACATGTCAAGTTAGTGGGTGTTGGTGATAATGGTAATGATGGTAATGGAGATGGTGGTGGCGGTGGTGGTAAACCTTCCGCTTTTTGTCCGGTATTCGTGATAAATGGCGAATGAGTTTACGCAGATTTTGAGTTCATTGATGCGGGTAGTGATCGTGAACTCACCTTCGTTTAAGGTGACAGTTTGTATCTAAAGCATTTAGCGCAGACAGCCAAACCGCTGGGGGTAATATGTAAGATAGCCAAGGATAGGTGAGTTTATGCGAAAGTGTTATGGGATCGATGGTATGATCAGCTCGAAAACAGAAAGACAGGATTGAGACATTGAGATATAGTTATGTTGGGAGAGGAAACTGTGCAATTTCTATTTTTCGAAGCAGCAAACATATCCTGTGAGTTTATTACTTGAAAAATATTTTATCCAAAAATATAAACATGAAAAAATCCCAAACATATTACTAGTAAATAGTATTGAAAAAAAGAAAATTAACACCTTCTGGACCGCAAGTCTATAATTAAAAATACATACGAAGAATTGAGAACTTCCAATTAATTTGAAGTTCGTAAAAAAACTAATTTTTCATAGAGTATTATAAGGGAAAACATTTTTTCCAAATTCAGTTTCCTAAATTTTTTTTCGTATAAAATTTGTAATGCCCAAACAATATTTTTTCCTATGTTTGGTACATTTTTTCTTTTTGGGTAAACATTTTCTTTTCAAGAAATATTTTTTCCTGTGATGGCTTATTTTTTCTTAAAATTTTTTTTTTAGTTGAGTTAATTTCATTATTTTTACTTCTTTTCTAAAAATTATACCGATTATTTTTTTAAATTTTTATTTTTTTTTTTAATTTTTTTTTTCAAAAAAGTCATTTTAATATCTAAAATTTCTTTTTTTTCCCAAAAACAATTTTTTTTTGTAAACTTAAGTTTTTTCTCTCATTTCTAATTTTTGGTAAATTTTTCTAGTTTTGGTAAGAATTTTATTTTTCGTTAAAAACTCGTGGGAAAGATTGCTAAATAAAAATGTGATTTACATGATTATCTTATGAGTGGAGAAACTCTTTTGGGTTATTGTAGTCAAAAAAGTCGTAGTCAAAACCAGGCCCAAAGGGCCATCCATTTTGCGCTTCTAAATTTTTTTTTTAATTATTTCTATTCTAAAATGTCTAAAAAGTATATTTTTTTCGTGTTTTTTCATAGATACATTTGTTTAGAAATGTTTGTCTAAAAACTCATTTTCATTATTAAAAATTTATTTAAAAAAAATTGATTTCTCTATAAAATCTTTGGTACATATGTATGTTTTCCGTGATCCAGATCCAGATCCAGTCGAAACATGTAATAGTGAAAACCAGCCGATAAAGTCATACTAATTGATGCCCACCACCGCTCTAAAGGGTTATCCATTATGCGCTTGGGAGAGTAAAGTCAAGCACAAGACTGGGCCACATGCTAAACACGCTCCTTGTTATGATGACATTGCGCGGGAAATCTCGGGGACGCCTAGTTTTGAGATTCGGCGATGTGGCTTTTTGGGGCAAGTTTTTAATTTGATAGTGGAAACAATACTATTCAAACAACAAAAAAGTTTATGAAGGGGAAGGGTATGCGCAAAAAACAACTAAAATGAAATATGACGGAAGGCAAGTGAAAAAACCTTCGAAAACTCCCATTTTTCGATATTCGTACTAGGTATTTTCTAGACAAATTTTATAAGATACGCGACTGGAATTACCGAAAATCATAGAAAAGTTGAACGAAATTGTTGCAGAAAACGATATTTTAGAAGTAGAATTGATATACAAAATCGTTTGTAGTAATTCTAAAGTCATTTCAAATACTAGGGAATATAATCAAAAACGTATCCATACAATAAGAAGAAGGTATTGAAAAAGTGTTATAAATTTCTTAAAATCCACTAAAATTCATAATACTCAAAAAACTGTATAATGAGTAACAATAAACTTTAGTCAAATGATATACGGACCCACCATAAACCACCATTTCGGACAAAACTTTCATTGGCATGCAAAAAAAAAACTTCCAAAAACGATAAATTAAAAAGCAAAAATTAAGCAAATGTCAAAGAAAACTACATAAATAGTTTTTCGAACGCTGAAGTAAGCAAAGCAAACAAACAACAAACAAAGAACCCACGAATACATCTAAACTCAACTGAAAGTCATACAAATCTTACATTCATACATGCAAATAAGCAAATAAATATTTTTCGATGTGCATTCATTTATTTTACTAACCAATAAAGAATAAAATATTATTTTCTTTCGAATTTTCCTACACCTGAAATAGAATATACATACGTACATATATACATACATACATACAAACATTGAAGAATTCTCCTCAAAGTACATAAATGAATAGTTAAATTACCAAACCAACGAGAGAAATAACTGACAAACATGTTTGAAAATTGAAGTGATTTAATAAATAAAGAGAATGTAATGATTGTAAACAATATTGAATAAAACAGTTATACATATGTAGTACATACATTCATATATGGAAAATGTAGATCGATATGCATATAACAGCGTAGTTTGAAGTAAACCAGAAAATATGCGATTAACAGCGAATGTAGAAACTTTAAAACCGATTTTAAACGCATACGAATACAAACCTACAAGTCTAGAAAAAAAAAGGAAAAATACTGTGAGCATTAGGGTGGTTCTAAAAAAATATGAACATGATGGAGTAACCCTTTATTTATACCTTCTACGTACAAAATAAAGACGTCCACGAAGGTTGATTTTTTTTCTTTAAACCGCGAAAATTCAACAAAATGTTTTACTTTGACTAGCCATAAATCAGCGAAAATGTTATAAATTTATCAGATTTCAAATGCAAAAATTTTTTTCAATGTTTGAGATTTTTGAAAAAATTTAAATCGCTTCAACCCTGGCATCGACGACTAAAAATTGGTTTGAAATTTTGAAATTTTAAAATTTTCGTGCAATTTTTCGCCCATACAAAATTTTGATGTTAATAATTTAAGTACAACCCTAATCAGCATGTATGTAGGTGTATGTATGTACAATATTTAGCGATACTATGTACTTGTATAGACTGATTGCGTGTTCATTGGAAAACTAAAACCCTAAACTAAAAGTCGAATCAAATCAAAGGAAAAAATAAAGTTAAGTAATGATACATAAATGAAGAACATGCAGCCATAAAATTTATTAAAATTGTGCTGCATCGGTTAAAATAACAAACTACTTGCATGTATAAAAGCGAAAGTGTACGATTAGCGATCTCTTCTTGCTTGCTGAATCAGCCGAGTTACGAAGAAAAATATTAAATAATTTCAAATAAATACAAAATTCATGAAGTGAAAGACAAAACTACGATTAGTGCTAGTATCTCGCATGTGGCCATTGTGGATACATTTATCGCTGAAATGAGTACTCACGGAGCTACAAGACAAAGCCAAAAAGTAATTTAATTGACTAAGAAAGTTAAGAAAGTTAGGTAATCTCAGAGGTTTTTGTATCTTAAAACTTCTCTTCAAACGATTTTATGTCGACTTGGGCAGAGATAAAAAACACTTCACAAATTGCCTTTCTCCTTTGCAAATTTACGCCAATTATCCATTACAGATGCGGGTATACCCTTCTGCTCTAGATGCTTCTTCTTTTTTTCACCAGAGCGTCATCATCCAGCCCACTGCAATCTTTGTGCTTTCAAATCGCTCAACTTTAACTATATGAATAACAATCTAGTACAGTTCGTCATTCCATCGTAGAATAATTCTCTCGATATACTGGTAGAGCGTGATTTTTGTTCGCCGAGAAATGACCCCGCTTTTCAATTGCCTTCCGAGCCGAAGGTATCAAAAGTTATTCTTCGCTTGATGTCCAGGCTGATTTCCTTTGGTACTGTTAATGCTGAATCCTAAGAAAACAAAGCCCTTCCCGACTTCAAAATTATAGCTGCCAACAGCGACTTCTGTCTCAATATAGTATGTCTGAATACCCATTGTTTGTTGCCAGAAGGTAAGTACTTTGTCTTGTCTTCATTAATCGCTCGACCAACCTGTGTTTTCCTCCTTTTCCCACCTGGAAAATGTTGCGCTCACGGACTAGAAGCACCGTACTTTTACTTTACACCAGATATCACATATATCAGAATATCAAATAGAAGAAATGGCGTCATAGACGCAGTTTATCTTCGTATCGTATTAAAAGCGGCTTTAATATCGATAAAAATTTAGTGTGTGAAACATTGTAAAAAACTGGTCACTGAAAAGGCCCAGCCAGTTGGTTCAAGAATATCTTTAGTCTTTCTTAGGACTGGACAAAGTTAAATGAGATTCGGAGAGGTGTGGTAGGAGCTCAAAAGCTTTTACCAATTTAATTTTACTACTTATACTTCAGGCTAAAAATTTAGCCTTTTTAATCATTTAATTCTTGTTAATAGCTCCGTGAATAAATAAAAGTTGCCAAATGAGAAAAATATTACAAGATGTAGAACAATTTTTTGTTAAATAAAAAATTCCAATTAGCGTAAAAAAAGGTTCAACTAACTACATACATAAGAGTACAGATGGAGGAGACTCGCTGCCACTATACAAGGGAAAAGAAGCGAAAAACTCATAAAGCTTACATGACACTCACAACATATTACTGGCCTATCAAATACATAAACATATACATAGATTTGTATGTCATCAGGCCACATTAATAACTTGCCACCTAATAATGCTGCTACTAATGTTATAAAAAAGAAATAAGATTGTGTTATTTGTTTGCGAAATTCTTCTATTGAATTCATTTATTGTTGGAAAGATCAACAAAATTGTTTGTTTGATTGCTCATAAGTTTTTTGAAAGTTAGTACGGTTTAAATGTAAAGTTTTAATACTTAATTAAGCAAAAAAAAATAAATTAAATGAAAATGTAAAATATATATGCTTAGGCTTGTTTTAATATATATTAGATCAGTTGTAAAATGTGTTTAAGTGTGTGTGTGATAATTTAGGGCATCAGTAAAGAGGAACGTTTTTTTATATTAGACGTATTAAAAGAAAGAAATAACATTGATACTACGAGAATTCGCTCAAAACTTGAAACTGTGTAATAAGGATATAACTATTATATAATAAAAAAAAAATAAAATGGAAAATTGGATTTTTGTACTCCATTGCGCCATTTGTTGGTGTAGTGATAGCTATGTTCAAAAAAAAAGATTATTATTATTTTTAACGCCCAACTTGAACTTCTAAAATCAGTTGAAAACAATAAGTTCTTTTCTCAAAGTCGTTGGATGAAACCACTTCG